ATAAGAAATATAATTTCCAATTTCCAATGGCTATGTCCAATTTCTTATGGAAATTCTATTTCGGTTATTTACTAACAGATAACTTTGAAACTTGGTACACATATGTAAAAGATAAATGTAAGACTTTCTTGTTCGTAGGAATTTTTCGAAAAAAGTGAAAGAAAACGTGAAATTCTTAGAAAACTGCCAAAAAGGGGGTACTGTAGAAATCTATCTCCTCCTATGATTTTCAAGCTACAACATTGAGAGCGCTTATCATTCGGTGCGTAAGGACCATATCTATTGATTGGTCCTTGCTGTTTTTCAAAATTCTAATTTTTGTGGGTGGGGTGGGCATTTTTTGAAAAAAATTATTTCTCCCCCACCCTTTCGAATTTCTCCTCCCCTTTTATCAAAATATTTTCAAAACTTCAATGAAATTGAAAAAAAGCTTCGACCAATCTCTAGATCTTTTATTTGCAAATCGAATGGTTTATTACTCATTGCTGTAGCTTAAAAACTCTGGGAGGAAATAGGTTTGCAGTGACAATAAGTGTGAATGTTCAGTAGAGCGCGACAAAGTCCCGAGCGCCTCAAAATAGGCATTCAAGGTGACATGGATGCAAGACTAGACATTACTGGAGCCGAAATTCAGTCAAGGATAGTGGGAACGACTGCATGAGCACCATCCCACATGACAGCAGCCAGTTAACTAAAGATCAGCGTCTTCAGTTTGCATATTCATGTGCCCAACCTGTAATTTTTGCCTATATTAAATGTGAAAGAACTCCCCACCCCTAACACTTTCACGAACTGTCGTCAAGGCATAAATCAACGTACAGAGATGATTTTGGTACCATTGGATAGGTCAGAATGTCAGCTTCGAAGTGAGACTTAAAACCAAAAAAGTGAATTTTACCATTTTTGTCCCAGAAATTCAGGGCGTAAAGGGTTAAACAAAGTATTTAGACAGATCTCAATAGTTTCAGCAAGCGGTATACTGGTATTTGTAAACAAATTTTCCACATCAACGGAGGCCATTGTTAAGTCCTGAACCAGATAGTAGCCAGAGCCTGATAGTACATAGTTCCAGAGCCTGATAGTAGAAAAGTGATTTACTGTTCTTTTCCACACTTTGGCCATGCGTCCGAAGTTATGTCAAGAGAATTGAAAGATTTGATTATGAAATACTTTCCAGACATTAATCTTTGTATCTTACTCGTTAATAATTTTGAAATAGGTTCGTTTTTTAGATAAAAAGATATCCTCCCTTCTCACATGCGATCGTCCCTAGTTTATAAATTTAGTTGTGCACGATGTGCATCTGCGTACGTTGGGATGATGGCACGCAACCTTTACACTAGGTTCGCTGAGCATAAAGGGAGGAGTTATAGGACTGGGCAGTTACTATTGCGCCCTCCTCATTTGGCTGTGCGCACTCACGCCGAACAGTGCAACGCTCCAGTGTCCGACACTGACTTAAAGGTTTTAGCTTATAGTTCTGGTGCTTCCAATCTGCGCATTTTGGAATCATATATTTTTAAAGAGAAGCCTAGTTTAAATGCTGCCCACAGTTCTTATCCATTAGAAATTGTGAATAGATATTTCTTTATTATTCTTTAATAGTTATTTCTTTATTATTCTGCACTTTGCCTGTAAATTTAGGTTTTAACTTCTGTTGTTTTTGTTTTTTTTTCTGATGACTCCAAACTTTATTAATTTTCTGACTGTATTTGTGTTCTAAATTTATCGAACTGACGATGGAGCTGGTCTCCGAAACTTTTTCAAGAGAGAAATGCTGAATTTTTGTGGCGTTTTCTTCACTTTTAAGTTTCGATTGAATTTGAATTTGGGTCCATGCTAAGTGACTGCTAACCTCCAGTCAAGACTGTTGAATTGGTCATTCATGCAGCATAAAAATTACAGACTAGTAGTCTAAAAAAATTATAAGTTTACATCACACACATCAGGTAAATAAGTTCAATTAATAGTTATACAATTTATTATAGTCCTTATAGAATGTAGATTCAACATATGGCATGGTTGCTTTTGCCCCACAGGCAGGAAGATGTGCCAGGTGCACAGGAATTCATGTCTTTAATTTTTCATTCTGTGCGGTGTGCGGTAATATGTCAAGAAAAAAATCGCTGTGTTTGCGCCATTACTAGTTACAGATTAAACATATAGGTAAGTGGTAACAACAATACTGCCATGCAGCTAGGTGGCAATGTAAGTAGGGTATTAATAACCATATATAGTTCGATCCCTGCTGCTGCCAGCAGCTGCAGCTATGCTGTGACATAATATCTTCTCACAACACCAATGGGTATCAATGCTTGTAGTGTATTGACTATTCATAACCATATATAGTTCAATCCCTGCTGCTGCCTAAAGCTGCAGCTATTATATGACGTAAAATCTTCTCACAATGCCGATAGGTATCAATGCTTCTTGTGTATTAATAACCATATATAGTTCAATCACTGCTGCTACCATAAGCTGCAGCTCTGCTACAATGTACATGATTATCTTCTTGCAATGCTGATAGGTGGCGATGCTTGTAGTGTCCATGTTCGCTTCATACGCGTAATAGTGACCGCACACGCGTTCTATGCTAGTAATGCTAACAGCGGTGGGCCGGTGGCAGTGAAATTACATGATCGTATCCATGTGACTCACAGCCATGCAGGTATGCGTATTGAAGATGGTCGTTGCATTCAGTGCCAGCTGTCATCACCCACTCTGCATGGCTGTTTGTTTTACCAATGGCACTGTTTTGAGCAATCCTGCGCAGTCCTGTCTCCTGCGCAGTATTGAGATAATTCTGCACAAACTGCACCATCTGCGCGGATCATTGATTTCAGGAAGCCCATTTTGCATGGGAATATTCCCCAAAAACCTACATCTTCCTGAGAGTGGTTTTTGCCTTCCTACCCTCCTGTTTCTCAGGCATGGAATATATCTACTTGGTGAGCTGCAACTGAATTTTTCAAGCAATGGTTTTATGGATTTGCCAGCTGTGATTTTATTTGTTTGAGCCATGATTCCAATTTTTTCAAGCCATGAATTCCATATCTCAGCCATGAAAAGTCATTTATGAGACACGAATTTATTTACAAAGTCCATGCACGTGTTATCCCAAATCTCTAATTTTTACCTTAAGACAGTCAGACGGCAACAAATGCCAACAATAACAATTGTCTCTACTGTAAGCTAAACACATTTTAATGCAGTCTGACTGCTCTGACATGACTGCAACTTTGCGCAATCTTCAACAAAACGTTTAGGACAGAGTGACTTGTTATCATTACGATGATTACGTCCTGCAGGATATTTTGGCAGGAAAAGTAAAGTAATGCTGATTGCAGAAGTTGGAAATTTTATAAAATGACATGTTTGCAAAGTGAAAACTGCAATTTTTTCACTCAAACATAAATTCATGACTTTCAAGATGCAAGATTTCATAGCTACTAAAATTATATGATATTATAACTGCAATATTTCAGAAAAAATTTGACTTTTCCAGCCCTGATGTTTCTCAACCCTGCACTCCTCAAGAACCCACTTTTATCATCCTTTTCTACCTTGACCTCAATATGATCTCCAGATATCTCATCATTCTCTCAAACAGAACTTGAGTTCAGATAGACCCACAATCATTGCCATCTGCTCTTTGCTTTTTTGCTTCTCCCTTCCAACTTTGTATCTCACTTCCCTCATTCAGAATCACCTCCATATTTTTGCAGAAACTTATACTTATAGCCTGTTTTGCAATTTGCTAACAAGGAGTATCGCCAAAATTTCTGAATAGATTTTTCACAATTTTGCATACAAACTCCTGTAGAAGTTATTTGTGTGTATAAGTTAACTTTTTTAGGACGACTTTATAACCTATATATAATGCTTATAAGTTATTGAGAAGCTTAATTATGAATAGCTTTCCTGGAAAAATGAACTTATTGACCCATCCTCTGGCCTAATTCTATGCTGGGATTAAGTATACATCATTTGGTTTTTTTTCAACAGATACCATCATTGTATTTTTTTCTTTTGTATTTATATATAGGCTTTTACTCAACCTATAAATTAAGTTGGAATTGAATATAAATTGCTCAATCTAAAGATAAATAGAAGATTTGTACAAGTTCATATACATAGTTAAATCAAATTCTGTTTGATTTTTTGATAAATATTTCTTGTTCATTATAAATCGGATATATGACCACAACCCCAGCTGCATAAATAACCTTATTACTAGCAAATTACGCCCCAGTTAAGACATTTTTGATGAGCAAAATGTTTGAGTTGTATGATCTTTTATTGATGTGTGTTCAGTTGTTTATAATAATTCTTGGTAATTGCAAATCATTTCTGAATAGTTAATTTGTTGGAACAGATGCTAGCACAAAATTTTTTCTGGCCTTTATACAAACAAAATGTTGACATGAGTTAATGTGTTGAGTTGTAGTTTGAGTTGTTAAGCAGTTAAGAGAAATTTCTTAATTGTGAATTACTGCTCAATGAATTAGCCATATAACTCTTAGAGTTATATGGCTACTTCTGAATCACGCATTGAAGTCACTTCCATACCCGGCCTCTATGATACTATAACTCCAGAGTTATATGGCTATATATAATATGTATAGGTTTGCTAAAATCTATAAATTTCTCACAATCTCATAACAAGTAGGATTTATATGTAGAAGTTCTATGCTTTCGATGCTTTCACTGAGTCTTATCCTAAATTACCAACCTTTGAAAAAAATGGCCAATAGGTACTCAATGGAACTTGCATTAAAATGTCAACTTCATGATAATTGATTCAAATTTATCTTTATTGCTTGAACAGGCCTTGCTATTTCACAGTTATCAATATTCACTTTGGATATATTTTTAAGGATGTACAGGATGGGCAATGAGATATTTAATAGTTCTTGTTAAGGGAAAATTTGAATTGAATTCTCAAGATCATTTATAACTATACCTATAGATCTCTGATAAAAATTATTCTTTGAAGATTAATGATTTTTTCATTTCGCAGGTATCCCCTAAATAATTACACATTTGGCACCAAAGATGCACTGTTTGAGAAAGACCCAAGTGTTCCCGCAAGGTTTGCACGGATGCGAGATGAATTTGACAGGATTGGTATGAGGCGAAGTGTTGAAGCTGTGCTGCTTGTTCATGAACATGCCCTCCCTCATGTCCTCCTACTTCAGCTCGGCACTACATTTTTTAAATTGTATGACCCAAAGACATGATCATTCCTTTTCTATTGTAATACTAGCTCTTAGCTTGCTGTTTGTACAAAATTAGTTTGAAATCTGTAATGAAAATTGAAACTATTTAATTTATTGGTTTTCTGTGTAAAAATTTGACTAGATTTACTATGAATTATGAGATTAGTTGGTATGAATACCTAATGAATTATGGTTAATTTAAATATTGAATTATTGATATAAATTATTGAATTCGATGAATTATTGGTTAATTGACAATTTATGAGGTTAAACCTAAGTCTATCTAAGTAATTTGGGACCTTGACAAAAAAAGATGCTTGAATATCTACGTTCAATCTTTCAAACATTTGGATTGTTTGAGTTTTTAAGAAATGATTGTTTTTATTGTTCATCATTACCTAATATATTGTTTCGACTCAGGCCAGGTGGGGAACTTGACACAGATGAGGACGAGGTTGAGGGGCTGAAACGCCTGCTTGCAGAGACTTTAGGACGGCAGGATGGAGTGAAGCAGGAGTGGATTGTTGAAGACATCATCGGCAACTGGTGGCGTCCTAACTTCGAGCCTCCACAGTATCCTTATATTCCTTCACACATTACCAAGCCCAAGGAACATAAAAAGCTCTACCTTGTTCAACTCGGAGAAAAAGGTTAACAAAACTAGCCAGTTACCAATAAAAATAGTACCTATATATCTTCTTTAATTATTTATGCTCTGCAGGACAATGTTTAGTTGCTGTCACATACTTGAAATCTATCTGTAATATGGCGTTATTTTTAAAAATCGAAATAAAATAATGTTATCATTCGACTAACACTTAATTCTTGTCTTTCTCTTGACTGCTGGAGAGCTCTGGTTTTAATTTAATTTACAAGAAATGTTGCTTAATCTCAAATGTTTTCTTGAGATTAAATTGAAAGTTTATTCATTATTGAAATGGTAATTTTATATTATAGTTAAATTGTTAATTGCCATCAAAGTTATTTGTCTGATACAAATTACTCGTTAATATACCTATTGGTTGAATTTAAAACGAAGTGACTTTATTATGCACACTTGCATAATATGTACCTTTTGGTACAACTTAAATTTTTAGCTTGAAAACATGTTGCAGTATTTCAGGTATGAAAATGTGTCTTTAATTTTGTTGTTTGAGCAGCCGTGTTTGCTGTACCCAAGAACTACAAGCTTGTGGCAGCGCCTCTATTTGAACTGTATGACAACTCCCAGGGCTACGGACCAATCATCTCCTCCCTCCCTCAAGCTCTGTGCAGGTAAACTTGCCCAAATTTGTATACGTGCATCTCAATTAAAGGGTGCGCCTTTACATTGATATATACTGAATGAATAAATGTAAACAGTCCTTAGATCTCTTCAATACTTTCCTAGGTTTGAAAAATTTATTGCTAATAGATAATTTTTTGAAAACGATTTGATATTTTTTAATGATGAAGAATCATTACTACTTATTAATGTTTCATTAATTTTTTGGCAAGGAAATAATTTTAGCACTTCAAACTTTCTCTAATTTTGATGCACGTATTTTCCAGGAAAATCTCACTAAGCAAATTATTTCCAATGAATAATGATATTTTTTTTCCGTTTCCAGGTTCGACTTTACATACATGTAATCATGAGATCTACACATTCATCATCATCGTCATATTGCCTCTTCATCATCACAACGATCACTATACTTGGATTTGTCAGTCACTTTTACGATAAATGTTTTGGGATGCCGTTGAAGGGAGCAGATTTGTTTCTGCATGAATAAGTAGTGCTTATTGCTGCCGAAGTCAAAGAAGGAACTTCGCTGTAGGCCACGCAGCTTGATGCAACAAGCATACATTGTGCGCGCTGCTCACTAAGCTTTTCATCTTACATGCAAATGTAACTGTTTCATGAACTTTGTGCCAGACTAAATTCGGCAGTGAAGTATGCTTAGTTTGGTGAAAAAACAATGGATAATTTGTTGCTTTATTATGGAGACGTGTAGCCTCGTGGCATAATTCCTCTGTCCCTGAGTCAATACTTTAACTCGGTTGTACTTCAGAAAGCAAGCATATAATTGAGTACTTGATACATTCAAATTTGTCTAACGATGTTTAATACGTAGAGCCAGGCTATTTTTAACCCAACTCGGACGACTATTTCGGCTATGTAATAATGGCTTTTGCAAAAGAATTTCGAAAATTAGTCTGATTTTCAAGCCTCGTCTATCATTTAGTGAACATCATGTTTCGTATTTATCATTATCATTTAATTATAAGTGATTTTGAACTAACGTGCCTCATTTCCACCCGTTCGCATTGTAAAAATGATTCGTTTGAAAAAGAAAAACTCAAGTTATTAGAGGAACGTTATGTGCGTTACGTAAAAGGACTTAGAAATGAGAGCCACGCTCCTATGCAACGGAATGTGGTCTATTAATGGAGCCATCAGTGTCATAAGTCTTAAGTTGGCCTAGGGCAACTCGAGTGTAGCACAACTTACGGTTATCCTTTGGTGGAAGAAATGAAACTGGACACGGCCGTTGGAGGGAGACTATACTGATCACTGAAAGCAGAATTAGCAATCATTTCGCCACCTTATCAAAGGTCCTAACTAGACTAGCAGCGACCACAAATGCATGGATGTGCAATACTGTGAGGGCGAGATTAGTAACTAACTTCCATGTTGTTCTTGATATCGTGCCGACTCGAAGCTTTTGGCTTCACATTGATTGACTTTTTGAGAGCATGTGTACCATGTAAATGAAGTAATGTTTTTTCTGTTGAAGCATTTAAAAATTCGATGCATTATAAATTATTCATGGAACTAGGTGGATATGAAATTGTAAATACTAAGGACAACAATCGATAATGTAATAGCAATCCAACGATAATGGTGAACTAGTCAAAATTCACCAGTACCTTATTCCGTCAAAACACCACAATGATAAATTTGTAGTACCTATTACTTGGTACTTGAACGAGACGGAGATATGTTCATAATCTTTATACGGCAATATTTCCAGTATGATGGCGCAATGGAAAACGTAAACAATCGCTATTTGACTACAGTTTCAGCTACCAGAGCAATGGTCACTCAGGTTTCCACAAAAATCTGTGAAAGGACTACAATTATGCAAGACCCTTACAAACTCAATAAAATTGCACGCGTAAGTTTCAAGTCAGATATAATACCAAACACTCTAAAAAAGTAGCTGTATAAAACTGATTTATTCAGTTCATTGCATAATTCTCCTGAGTATCAGTTATCGTGTTATCACATCGTCAACATTCAAAAAACTTCTCACAAGTTTTTTGTCTGCCAAAAAAAACTTTTATTCGTGCTAAAATTCCAAAGCTTTATGCCCTGCAAGAGGTTTGCACGAATCATAGCATCTAATATAGCATAGGCAGCACATTAGCGCACCTAGTTGAGCAAAAAATCCTGCTGGAATGTTAATCACCGACTGATTTATTGATGAAGGTAATTCAGAGCGGGCTGTTGAGTGTTACAAGTGGATCATCAACAATGCCCTGACGCTGCAGTCGTCGCCAGGCAGTGAGGACCTGCTGTGTGGTGTAGCTGTAGTCCCAAAGACTGCAGAAGACAACGTGCGCTCTCTTCACTCTCTCGTCGTCCCGCATCTGGCGCTGTAGACGCTGCTGGGCGAGCTCCTCGCTACAGCCGTCACGCTCACAGATACGACGCACTGCCTCGCTCTCGGGCAACACGCACACCCACACCTGCGACCAACCAACCACATCATAAACACTCTAGAATGGGCATAATTATGGTCTTGAATTTATTCAGCCTTTTTTGGTGTTAACTAGCCAAAAAAATTAAAGATTCAAGATGTTTAATCAAGGATATTGTGGGAGGGCGCAATTAAATATTAAACAGTTATCTTGCATATTGCCACACACATCAGGTCCATGATTGCAACATTCCTATAATGGATGAAATATTCAGAACATGAAATTTTATCATTTACTTAATGTGCAACACCAAAAAAGTTGCATACAACATTACATGACAAACTGATTCATCATGCCAAGTTCTGAAAGTTAACTAGGGTCAGTCAAATAACAAGCCTACTATACCACTTAGATCGCCACATTTTTTAGGCCATGGAATAACTGGTGACACTCACATGCCATTCTATAATGACCACTATTTGCAACAAACTAAATTACCGCATGATTGTGTTGGACTAAACCACATGCAAAAAAAAAAAAACACGAATTTGGTGCCCTGATTTTTAAGAGCTCCTTCATGTCCCTCTGACAAACATATCTTGACAAACTAAATGGTAAAGAGTACTCGGATATATTTGTAGTCGGCATACACAACTGAAGTGTACGGACAGATAGAATAACTGGGCATGCCTAGCCAAGACAGACATGGCCAGAAGGCAGAACAATGATTAGAATCTAAGGACAAACCTTGCTATTAATAAAAACAAATCTCAAAGTTTCTTCCTAATTTTGTACATTATTGTAAGCCACAAAAGAAAAATAGAATAATACAAACTTGAGGTAAGTGGTAAAATATCATGAAAACTTGCACATATAAAAACTATGATATAAATTTTGTTGCCAATTTGCTTGCCATGTACTTCTTCTAAATATTATCCCAATCAAGTGGCATCACAACCAATTTACAGATAAGTCTCAGCATTCATTACCAGTACGTACTTACTTCATGACATTGCAGGTCCCACTGTGCTTCAAGAAGCACCGCAGCATCAACAACAACGAGTTTGGCTCCTTGTATTTTAAGTTCAGCCACTTTATTCTTTAGCAGCAGCAGAATCTCAGGCCACACTAAAGAATTGAGCTGATTTAACTTCTCTTGATTACCAAAGACCAAAGCGCCAAGAGCTTTCCGATTTATCTCTCCAGTTTCATTCAATATTTTTGGCCCATAAGCTTCAACTAGTTTTGAATAGCACTCTGTTCCTTCCAGGTAGGCTTTGTGTCCAAGTTTATCACAGTCAATAATGCTGGCACCAAAGCTTTTCAGACGAGAAGCTATGCTCGACTTCCCACTGGCAGATCCACCAGTAAGCCCAATAATATAAGGGGAAGGTTCAAGCTTGTTTGAAAGATTAGGATCTTGTAAACAGGTGCCAAGTAAACGCATGCGTCTAGAACTTGAGCTCAATTTTTCTTCTTCATGAACATTTCTGTTCTCATCATTAACCAGATCAATTACTACCACATCCAACTGATTCAAATTACGTTCAGCTCTAGTCTTGTTCACAAAATGGCCACCCCTCAATGTTTCCTGGCTTACAATGATCATTTCCATTCTTGGATCTTTTCCACTGGGACCACAAGGATCAATAATTGGTTCCAAACAAAACTCAATTGATGGATCCATGTCTTCAAGCAAATTCTTCAAATTTTCAATTCGAACCTCGACAGGCTCAATCAATGGAGCTAATGTCTTCTTTTCCAATAATATGCCATCTGCCATTCCAATTGTAAATCTATTTCTGCATCTCAAGAGACCTTCTGCCAAAAGAATTTTATGACCAGGATGAATGCGATCAAATGTGCCTCCAGCAACAATGTTTTCATAAACTTTCTCATTGGTTTCAGAGCTAATGCTTCCTCCCAAGGCCTCAGCTATAACTGAACAATTACTAACATCTTCATCTGTTAATAAAGTTATGGGCTCTTTCAAATTGAAATAACATTTATACTTGGCTCTCAAATACTTCAATTTCTCATCATCTAAGTGATCTACAAGGAGGTTTGCAGGCTGTAATCTTGGATTATTTGGTATTATGGAGTGGCCTTTGAATCCAGACATGATAATCCTGGTATCCAGTTGAGGTGCTACTGTTGAGAATGATCCATAAAGTTTCTGGATAACTTGACTTGATGCTTTGATAGGCCATGTGCTATGATGCATTTTTCCGGGATCCTCAAAAATTGAGGCAGAATCAAGGTGAATATACAGGTCATCTTTGGCATATTCACATGCTCTGGTGACCATCTGCAAAAAGAAATTTCAAATTGGTGGAAAAAGAAGTTAACTTTATGCATAAAATCGAATAAGAGATACAGATCAGGAACTAAATATTTACAAATTAAATTTACTAATTATTACCTGTGGTATGAGTGCAGTCAGTTGTTTGTAGGGCAGAGTTATGATCAAGAATCCTCTCATTTTGACCTTCAAGCAAAAAAGGATGAGACTAAGAGCAGGGAGAGATGAGGGTGAAGGAAATTGATCAAAATTCTGAAACAGAACAAACAAAACATAGATAAAAATTCCAATAGAATCAAAAATTGAATACAATTTTGAATGATAAAACATTAATTGATGACAGTAAAATAACATCAGTGTCAGGAATTGATTTTAAAATTGTGTCTCCCGTCTAAGGTACTGTCAAACAGGATAATAAGGGATGGGCAGGGTAAATTTGGACAGTTGTCCCACATTTTGTAGAAATGTTGTAGCAGCTAAACTAATAAAAATGTTGAAAACTTAAATTTCAACATTTTTATGATCTAGATATTATAAGCAAGCTAAGAAATCATACATTTACATCACATCACTAAAAAAAATCACTGAAAAAGTGTGAAAAGTGAGATTTTTAAAAAGTAACACTGCTGAGGTCTGTAGCAAAAAAAAAAAAATATGCTTATTGCTCAGTATTAAAAAATTTCACTTACATAAAAGTTGCACACAGGTGTTGGCGTAAAAACGTGATAGACGGAGTTTGCGTATCTCACAAACAAAATGGTGACCATTTCCGCAAGAATAAGGGACACCCCTGAAAACGCATTTACATTAGGACCTCAATTAGCAAAGACTCCAGTTAAAGAAAAAATCAATTAATGACAAAAAATTTTGATTACATTTACCTTGCTCAGCAAAAAAAATTTCACTTAATCATCCATCATCACAAAATTGTGCATAGGTACCTACCTAGAATGTCAATGTCATAGATAGAATTGTGCACTGGGCAACATAGAATGCAAAGAAATTAACCTAAACTATGATTTATTTATCTGAAAAATATGATGGTTGCCACTAAAATATTCCTTTCTGTTTCAGGAAGGGGAAGGTTATCCTTTCAGGAAGGTTACTATCCTTTTTTTTATAGAGAATTCAGTTGACTGAATTAAAATGGTGTGAAATTACAAGCCAACCTGTAAGCTTACAGATAGAGCAAATTAATGCTATACAGCTGCTGATATGAAGCATGCAGACTTGCAGTGGACAAGGTTGTTATAAAAGCTCCATGTTCATGGATACAGTAATACCGTATCACATGAATAATATGGTAATGTATGGATTTTGGATGGTAATATCGTATCAATAAATGAAAAACAAGTAAAAATCATAGAAAATGTCATTTATTCTACATCTGCATCATCTACAAAGGAACAGGAGGACTTCAGAGTACTGTCAGTAATAGATGAGTACACTCTGCATGGCGCATGCTTCAAACATTTTAAAATTAAATTTCATTCCAAGTGTCCCAGATTACCCCATAAGGGGTAATTCAGCAATTCAAGTTGGATTGCTCAGTTTTTAAGTGGATTATATCCAAATTAAATTGATTTAGACAGTAGTGCTTGCATGAGAGATACTTTTAGGTTTCTAAATGTTAACAACATTGAAATCCGTGCAGAAACATAAATTTTTAATATTTTACCTATTTTAGGTTAAAATTTAGGCTCCTATGGAGTATGGACTTGAAACCAAACCTTGTCCAGGCCTTTTACTTTCAAATTCAAAAACGTTTGATTGAAAAATTGTGGTTTACAAACATGTTATTTAACATTTTTTCAACTTTCGCAATCCACAGTACAATAACAGTCCCACCAAAATATCCTGCCAAATGTAATGGTAACAAGTCAACCTAAAACGTTTTGTTGACAATTGCATAGTTGTAGTCACGTCAGAGCAATCAGACTGCATTATCACGTGTTCAGTTGCCATTGAAGTAAAAACAAATATTAATTTTGCTGTTTAAGGTAAAATTAGAGATTTGGAGCCACACTTCCACAGGACTTTGTAAATAAGTTCACAGCTCATAAATGGCTCTTCATGGCCAAGATATGGAATTCACGGCTGGAAGAAATGGAATCACAGGTGATGGCTGGCAAATCCATAAAACCATGGCTCAAAAAATCCAGTCTCAGCTCAGCAAGACTTGAAAATTTTATGAAATGACATGTTGGTGTAGTGCAAACCACAATTTTTTAACCCTTTACTGCCTGATTTTCTAGGTTAAAAATGGCAAATTTCTCTTTTCCGGTTTTTAGTCTCACCTTAAAGCTGACATTCTGACCTATTCAGAGGTACCAAAATCATCTCTGTACATTGATTTATGCCTTGATGACTGATCACAATGTAACCGGGCGCACTAGCGGGTGGAACAAACTCGTTCACTTACTGAAAATTACTCTTATAGTGCTCATCACAGAAAACAGGAATTAATGAATTACTTAGGGATTTGCTTTTATTTCAGTATTTATTCTCATTTATTGAAAGAAAAGCCAATATGTTAAAATTTTATACAATAAGAAAAATTTGCCAAAACTCATAATCAAAACCAAATCGATAACCGTTCAAACCTTAAGACTGTAAACATGAAACTATGGTATATGAAACTATGGAATATGAAACTATGGGTGAAGTGATACACACAGCAACTGAAACAAACAAATGAACATAAATATACATGCAATAAGAGACATAATAATTTATTTGCTATGTGAGGGAATTTAGTGAAGTTAATTTGACTTTAAACATGAACAACAAAATAGGAGTGAATTAAACAATATATTATAGAGTTAAAACAGTCAAGGGCAAATGCAAATGCAAAAACGATTTGAGATAACAATTAAAGTAATTATTGCAACACAAGCATTGCACTAAAAATTAATCAAACTGACAGATATGAAAAGAACATTAATAATAAATGACAATAGAATGAATAAGAACCAAAATGCATAAAACAATCAGCCTAAAATATGTACATTAGACATGATTGATAATTAAATAATTGATAATTAAATAATTGATAATTAAAGTGCAGACTAAACAGCCAACTCACCAACTGGTAATGGCAGCGTGAGTTTCAGAACATTCTGCTAACTCAAGATAAGTTTAGTTTGCATGCATTAATTTAGGTTTATGGGGTCATTCAATACCTGAAACAAGAAAAAAAAACACATAGGGCAACATTAGACACAAATGCATGAAATACTATTAGCATAGCTTGATAAGCATGAAAGATGATAAATAATAACCAAGTTTGTACTAAGTTAAAATAAATGAATGAAATAGAAAAGTATATAATTGTGAGCTGAAACACATGAGCTTGGTCTGCCCTAAGATTACCCCCAGCAATAGCGAAAGGGTTAGGGGTGGGGGAATTCTTTCACATTTAAGATAGGCAAAAATTACCGGCCGGGCACATAAATAGACGGTCTAAAGATGCTGATCTTTAGTTACCCTGCTGCTGTCGTAATTTGAAAAAATATAATTCAGTACTCACTGCAGTGAGTGACAGAGAGCCCATTTTCTTGTTGACAAAAACTTGAGGTCACGGACGGACAGACAGACAGACAGACAGACATGGCGAGCACAATACTGCGTTTTTTGAGAAAATTCACTAAATGCACTATTTTCTATGCTATGATGTGTTATGTTATGTTGTTATACTGTGCAATGTTATAATGTGTTATGTTGTTATACTGTGCTATGCTATGATGTGTTATGTTATGTTGTTATACTGTGCTGTGTTATGATGTGTTATGTTATGTTGTTATACTGTGCTATGTTATGATGTGTTATGTTATGTTGTTATACTGTGCTATGTTATGATGTGTTATGCTTTGTTGTTATACTGTGCAATGTTATTATGTGTTATGTTGTTATACTGTGCAATGTTATAATGTGGTATGTTGTTATGCCGTGCTATGTTATGATGTGTTATGTTATGTTGTTATACTGTGCTGTGTTGTGGTACTGTGCTATGTTATGATGTGTTATGTTGTTATACTGCGCAATGTTATAATGTGGTATGTTGTTATACTGTGCTATGTTATGATGTGTTATGTTGTTATAATGTGCCATGTTGTTAATAATATAATGTTGTTAAAATGAACCATGTTGTTAATAATATAATAAAGTTCGTAATAGAACGCACTAGATCGCATTAAAAGGCACTAGATCGTAATACAACGCACTAGATAGCATTAGAAGGCCCTAAATCGCCCTAAAACGCATTAGTATGCACTAAAATGCTCAAAACCAGATGAGGACGTACGTCGGGACAAGCCAGATCACCCAGATGCGGATGTATGCCAAGGCAAGCCAGATGCGGACGTACGGTACGTCGGGACAAGCCAGATCACCCAGATGCAGACGTACGTTGAGACAAGCCAGATGCAGACGTATGCTGGGCGTGTGCCCCAATAACGTTATTGATATGTTTATTTATTTATTGATATGCGCCAATAACGTCATCACTCCATTGTTATGGAGTGATGACTCCATAACAATACCTTCCCTGGATGATGGAACTAAGAAAAAGCTTATTGTAAACTTTATTTATTGTAAAGGAAAAAAGTCAAGAAGTGTCAGAATTACCTACGGTACGTCCCACAACCCACGATGTCGGAATATACCGCATTTACCCTATTCCTCTGTAGTTTTCAAATTTTGTTAAAAAAATTTAGGTAGGTATATGAATATGAAAATGATATCAGTGTTGGCAAATCAGACACTTGTGCAGTCAACCAGTCATGCCACAGGGCACAGGCCACTACTTAACCCTTTACGCCCTGAATTTCTGGGACAAAAATCGTAAAATTCACTTTTTCGGTTTTAAGTCTCACTTCGAAGCTGACATTCTGACCTATCCAATGGTACCAAAATCATCTCTGTACGTTGATTTATGCCTTGACGAGTGACGACAGTTCGTGAAAGTGTTAGGGGTGGGGGAGTTCTTTCACATTTAATATAGGCAAAAATTACTGGCTGGGCACATAAATATGCAACCTGAAGATGCTGATCTTTAGTTACCCGGCTGCTGTCGTGTGGGATGGTGCTCATGCAGTTGTTCCCACTATCCTTGACTGAATTTCAGCTCCAGTAATGTCTAGTCTTGCATCCATGTCACCTTGATTGCCTATTTCGAGGCGCTCGGGACTTTGTCGCGCTCTACTGAACATTCACTCTTATTGTCACTGCAAACCTATTTCCTCCCAGAGTTTTTAAGCTACAGCAATGAGTAATATACCGTTCGATTCGCAAATAAAAGATCTAGAGATTGGTCAAAGCTTTTTTTCAATTTTGTTGAAGTTTTGAAAATATTTTGAAAAAAGGCAAGGGGAAATTCAAAAGGGTGGGGGGAGAAATAATTTTTTTTTAAAAATGCCCACCCCACCCACAAAAATTAGAATTTCGAAAAACAGCAAGGACCAATCGATAGATATGGTCCTTACGCACCGAATGATATGCGTCTCGATGTTGTAGCTTGAAAATCATAGGAGGAGATAGATTTCTACAGTACCCCCTTTTTGGTGGTTTTCTAAGAATTTCACATTTTCTTTCACTTTTTTTGAAAAATTCCTACAAACAAAAAAGTCTTAGATTTATCTTTTACATATGTGTACCAACTACCAAGTTTCAAAGTTATCTGTTAGTAAATAACCGAAATAGAATTTCCATAAGAAATTGGACATTGCCATTGGGAATTGGAAATTATATTTCAGTTATTTACTGACAGATAACTTTGAAACTTGGTACACATATGCAAGAAATAAATCTAAGACTTTTTTTATTCCTGTGAATTTTTTGAAAAAATGACAGAAAACGTGAAATTCTTGGAAAAGCCCAAAAGGTAGCTAGCTAGTAGCCTAGTCCCTGCCCTGGTGTGACGAATTCGTCACGCCAGGGCGTAAAGGGTTAAATCACAGAATACAAATCAGTCTTTCAAAAAATTGTACAATATTTCAAATTAATTTAAGCCTTAAGGGTACAGGAAAATAATAGGCCTAGCTGAGAAAATCAAGTGCAGAGGCAGAGTGGCAGACTAGGACAACAGACTGAATTAGTCTGAACAGAGTAGTAGGCTATAATAATTAATATTTCTTTTCCCAATAATTTCATTATAGTAACAGTGATCTTTGCTGATAATAAAAATTAGGCATTTAAATAAGTAAAATAACCACATAACAAAGAAAAGAAAGTGTAAGTAAAACTATATTTTAACACAATTGAAGAAAAAAAACACCCTAAAAAGCAAAACCTATTATAAAACATTTCAAAATTAGCAATTTGTGTCGGTCTCCACTGAGTCCACTCCTACCCTACAGTTGTCACGCCCCAGGTAATTTTGATATAAATCCGTCTGACTTCTTCTTTTCGTGTTTTTTTTTTTTTTTGTGGACTTAATTAATAAGCAACATGAAATCTTCTGACTTCAGTCACGCGATATCGGCAGGTGCTATTGCAGCTGACGAATTCCGTATTTTGTCGGTACCTCGGAATGAAATCCGTCGTCAAAACTAATTTTGATTCATGATTAAAAAGTTTAGAAATTTTGGAAAAATCCCACAGTAGGATTGTATTTTTTTTTTGTACATTGTAAAAAGCATAATCATAGCAACTTCTTAAAAAAATTAAGTGTCCATTTCCCCCTAATTAGGAATGTCAAACAATTTATTTCCATACAACAATTATACCTCATATAATCATTTCAAATCATCTAAAGATGTGTATTTCAAATTGCAGTGTTACATCAATTTAATTGAAAAGCCCTAACACGACGGCTAGTTTTCGTTTTCATATATCACATCAATTCAAAGAGATCTGAAAACCGGAAAAAAAATTTGCAACTTCTCATGATTGAATTGGGAAGTACTATTCCTGTAAATTTTCTACTTAGATTTCGCCCAGAAACACGTTTGTCCACCTTCGTTTTACAGTTGGTTTATAAATTTTGCATTTTTTCTCTCGGCCTTGGGCAATATGGATTAACCCGACTTACACTGTTGAACGTCTCGGACAAAAACGCGGCCTCTCTCACGGCCGGTCTCGCGGCCGTGATTCCAAATTCAGTGAGCGTGGAATATCTCGCAAAATACTGAACGTAGCTTTATGAAACTTGGTACACATAATCATTAGAGCCTAACGGTGATGTTTAGCTCGTGACAATTTTTCAAAATTCGCCTTCATTCCTGAGTTATATGAATAAATCGTACGCTCACTGTGAATTTCAACACATATCGCTGTTAAAATCACGAATGAGACAAAAGTGAAAAATACTCGCGAACGAAGGCAAAAGTGAAAAAAATATCAAGAGCTAAACATCACCGTCGGGTATTGAGAAATTTATATTCAAAATTTAACTCAAATCTGTACAGTACTTTAGAAGAAATGTCACGCTCACTGCAATTTTCACCACGTATATTCATATAACTCAGGAATGAAGGCGAATTTTGAAAAATTGTCACGAGCTAAACATCACCGTTAGGCTCTAATGATTATGTGTACCAAGTTTCATCGAGCTACGTTCAGTATTTTGCGAGATATTCCACGCTCACTGAATTTGGAATCACGGCCGCGACGCCACATATTCGGCTTTGACTAGCATTGAGCGCTGCCGCCCTTGCATGAGAAGCACTTTCATTAGTCCAGCATACCCTAGAGATAACAACGTTCACCGGGTCTGAAGGGTACTAGCCTGTGTTACAATCCAACACACCGACACACGTCATCCTATTTGCCTTGGCAACGAATCGCTCAAGTTGAAACCTGATATTTCCATCCCACAGGCAAGAATTCTACGTTAGGGTATTTAAAAAAACGTGCAGAATATCAAATTCTGAGCCATCAATCAGGCGGTGTATATGACCATCATAATTTACAACGAGTGTTGCATAACCAAGTTGTTCAACATAACAGATCAGGTGCACAAGAATGGAATATATTTCAATAGGTTAATTATAGACAAGACGTCATAAAATCTGTATTAGGCAATCGAAACCAACACGATGGCTATATACAGAAACAAAATAATATGGATGATTCATGTGTGTGCCAAAATGAGGTGAATGACATATTTAATTACATATTTTATTTAAATAAAAAAAAATTGATTGCATTTTATGGTTTAGGAGAAAAGTGTATATATACCCATAGATTCAAATCAATATGAAAATTGTATAGGCT